CCTTCCCAAAGGCTTGGCCCCTCCCAGCGTGGCTCTATGACCAGAAACAGCACCTTTACTTAGAGGATTTCTTCCATTTGAACAAAATATTTCAGATGCCTCAAAGAGCGCCAGAAGGCAGCAGGAAAAATCCTTCTTCAGACAGAATCTCCCTGTTGGCTTGACCCTTTTCTAATGATTGCCTGATTTTCTGAGCTGTTTCAGTTCCCTAAAAGATGACATTTTCTCACTTCTTTTGAAAAACAAACACAGAATTTTCCCCTCTTTGCAGCTGAACCATTGGCACCATCCTACCAGAACCTCCAGCCACACCAGGTCCCCAAGACCCCGCAGCCAGACCCCTCCCTATATGTGGTACAAAAGCCACTAGCATTAAAAATTCAAAGCACCTCCCTAAAATCATGCTAGACTCACTTAAAAATAAGCTCACTGTTGCAGTTTCCCAGTATATTTGGGGAATAAACCCACCAAGCTGCAGGGCAGGGAGCTGTCACCCTGGCAGGGGCTGGGGGCTGCCCTAGGGACTCCAGGGGGTCCCCAAGCACCCCCAGGCCCCCCACACAGTGTTGTCCCCTCACTGGCTGGGTGTTACAGGGTGACAGCCTAAAAATACAGCACTTGGAGAGAGGGCTTTGCTCTTCTCTCTGCAGCCCGAAGGCACTGTCAGCAGCTCAGCCTCCTCAGCCAGGGCTGGAAAAACAGGCTAAGTATTTGGAGGCTGTGACTCAGTACAGGAAAACTGCTTGGCCTGGCTGACGCCTTGCACAAGCCTGGCCAGCGCAGGCAGGCCCCCCCCGCACCCCAAGGGGGTTCTCTGGTATCTCATAAGTGTTAAGCTAACCCTTACCTGTGGTTTGCAGCTCTCCTCTACAAGACATCTGCTAAACCTGCCTGCAGTCACTGGAAATGCGAAGCAGACCTGGACAGACATCTGGATGGGGACTCCAGCCCAGGGACTTTGGCACGACCAGCAAAGCCAAGGGAGACCTGCCCTCCTGCCTCAGCTTCCCCAGTGTCCTTGAGCTGCCCCAAGAGCACCTTTCCCCTGTGCACAGTGCAAATAGAGGCTCTGCGCTATAAACCCCCAGCAAACCTTTACCATGCTGGTGGTGCCTGAGCCCCATCCAGCCTCACTGCCCACAGCCCCACATCCCCACTCAGACAGGCAGCATAGTGGGTCCTACCTGTCTGCAGGGGCTGGAGGGTCTGCACAGCCCCAGAGCCAGGATCCGGCTCCTCGCTGTTCCTCAGGCACACAGCGCCAGGATGCACCTAAGTCTGGAGGGATGGGCCAGCCCCTCCTCTGGGATCTTATCAGCAGCTGCCAGGGGCTCCTGCCCGCACCCTGATAAGTGCCGGGCTGCACGTCACAGGGCTAGGGTCCCCCCAGTGCAGCTCCACCCCTGCAGCCCGCTCAGCTCCATCCCAGCAGCAGGACCAGAGCATCCCATGGGACACCCACATTGGAATGAGTGCTGGTGCCCCAAATCCTGCCTTTCCAGGAGGGTGCTACACCCAGGAGTGGCTGGGAATGGTTACTGCAAGGAGGGTGCACTGGAGACGAGCCTGTCTCCCTCAGGCAAATGGGGAGGTGCATAGGCCCTTCATTTGCCCCCTTGGACAACCCAGGGCTGCTCCCAGCTACCCCCAGAGCAGTGGGACACCCCCACCCCATACTGTGCTATGCATGATCAGCCCCTAGGGCTGAGCAAGGGGAAAGGGAAACTGTCTCACACTCGCTTGCTTGGCAGCACTGCCCTGCAGAGGCATTTAGGAAAAGAAGGAAAAAAAAAAAAAAAAAAAAAAAGAAAAATTTTTTTTTTTCCAAACAAAAACCAAGCGACA